CCATACTATCATTAGAAAACAGCTCAATTTTACTTGCGACAATTTATTAGCCTTTAATTTATTAACTTCGATTAGAGGTCGCACTTCATGAAGCTTCTATCGATAATTATCGACATGGGTATTTATTTATACAATTTATATGAATATAAATAAAATATTCTGTATCTAATGAAAATGTTACTTTTAAGTGATTAAATATTGATGATTGTCCTTAACGTAAATATGATACGCGTTCCTCTTTTCTTATTTTACTAAAGTAGTATTTGCATGTTTTTACAATCCTTGTGCATGTTTTTACAATACTTTTGAGCGCGGAGCCGAGTTTCATTTAGTACCTAGTAGGTCCATGAGTTTTAATTACAATATAGATAATTTCTTGGTGCCAATAAACATAATTTTGTTTTTCTAATAAACATTTTTGACTTTTACATTATCTTGTATCAAATTTATAATATTTCTTACATTAGGTATACTTAATTACAATATTAAAATTTCTAGTGTAAACTAAAATAACAAATTAAAATTATAGAAATAAAAAAATAATTTACATGATGACACCATTTTAGTAAACATTTACAGTAGTAAAAATACTACAGGTGTCCATTAAAACACAAAGGCATTTACTTGACTTGTCTACAAACACCCAATATCAATCTTATGGAGAAGATCGGAGGTACACTAAGATGCAATGTCGGAGCATGGGCACAGCACAACCAGACTCATAACAAAAAAATTTGCTCTTGCATATGTGGTGCGTAGTGATTAGAGGATGTGGTTGGTCAAATGCTGGTGAACTAGTGAACAGTTAAGTTCTTTAGTGCAACAAATCTAAGAAACACCTTTGATGTTTCATGTTTTTCATACCACAATAACTTCATACAAGTGTACCTACTCAAACATCATTAAAATAAAGCAATGGATTTATGAAGTTATTTGCATTTCCTTGGTTCTTTGGTTTTTGAAAGAGAAGAAAGCAAAACGGTATGTGAAATAAGAATAGAAGGAGAGTTGATTGAGCAAGTGGATGAGTTTGTGTACTTGGGATGTGTATTTAGCAGGGATGGTAGATATGATAGGGATATAGAACGACGAGTAAATGCAGGGAATAGAGTGAATGGGGCACTACACTCTATTATGAAGAACCAGAATGTGTCAAAACAGGGACGTATGGTAATTCATAATGCTGTGTTAGTCCCTACTTTAATGTATGGTAGTGAAAGCTGGGTGTGGCAGAAGAAGCACGAAAGTAGAATAAATGCTGTAGAAATGCGGTCTTTAAGGAATATGCTAGGGTTGAATCTGAATGACAGGGTGAGAAATTGCGCGATAAGAGATAAATGTGGTATGCAAGATGATGTTGTGACCAGGATTTAAGAAAGGAATGCTTCGGTGGTTTGGTCACGTAGAAAGAATGAGTGAGCAAAGAGTGACGAAGCAAATTTATATGGCAGATGTGAATGGCCGAGTCGGGAAGGGACGCCCCAGAAAAAAGTTTATCGACCAAATTGGCGATATTTTGAAAATGGGCCACGTTAGAAGTACCCTTAACCGACGAGCATGTATGCGTAGATATATGGATGTAAAGGAGGCGAAAGAGGTATGTCAGGATTGTGCCAAATGGAAGTCCGTAGTCTCTGCCTACCCCTCTGGGTGACAGGCGTGAGTGTTTATGTTATGTTGCATTTCCTTACAAAATTTATAATTTTAACCACTAATTTAACATAGAATTTTTAAACAAAGCAAAACATAAACAATTCAACCAGAATTTTAGCCTAGTCCGATAATAATGACAGCTCTTAAAAGGTCTATGTTAATGCGCCACAGGGTATGTTCCGAAATACAACCCAGTACACTGTTAAATGCTAATGACGTCATCAATTGACACTACATTGTACTGGCGTGCCGCCGCCATATTGCGTCGGATATCCGGCCACAATAAAACAATTTTTAATTGTGTGTGCGCTGAATGAAGCATGCCAGAATTTCTTTCTATTTATTCAAATACAAAAAATTAGCTTTCCCGAATTGCGATAAAATGATTAATGACATGCAGCATGATGAATGCAAACGACTGCTCCATGGCACAGTGCCTTAGCAATGAGTTACAGCACTAAGGGCCGTGGTTTCAAATTCTGCATGGAACAAGTATTTTTTTTAAATAGAATTAGGGTGACAAAAGAGCACACAGTCCACCTGATGGTAAGTGGATGCTGTGGCCCATAGACATCTACATTTAACCTCGATTAAGAATCGAAACGCAGATGCGTCGTCACCCCTGAGGACTAAGATGGAATGCCTCGATTCCAGTAAAAAGAGTCTCCGGTTCTCTACACTCACCATACGAAACACAGCAGCACCAACCTGCTATTGTAAGCTGTGGTATTCTGTAAGAGTGTGGTCCTTACCCGGTCGAGCCGACCATTTCGTGCTACAACTGTAGCTGCAGCGTTGTATGGCCTACAAGTAATTGTTCCAGCTGTTTGGATGTGTCCTTGAAATTTATGTTTGTAAATTGGAAGAAATCCTAACGTAGAACGAGGTAAAGTTTAAAAAAATTGTGCATGATCATTCATATAACACATGTCACACTGCATTGCCGACTAGGGTCTGCCTTACATTTGATTTGTTGCACAATACAGTGTTTACAGTATGGTTTTTTTTCACAGTTGTCTCTCATATCAATAGAAATACTTTTTAGAGGCTATCAAAATGTTTAATACTTTATAGAAATTGTAAGGGAAAACCAAATGATATTATTGGCTAAATATTTAAATTGAATTAACTGTTATGTGTAGTGGCAGTTTAAGAATATTGACTAGCCCTTATCATTCCGTGAATGTTGTACGAGGCGACAGAGAGAAGTGGAAACAGGTGATGAGCACCGGCATCTCCATATTAAAAACTCAAAATAATAAAAACCTGTGGCGGACAACCCGACCACCATGGGTGTTAACTATTTTCTTTTTATAGGATACGGTGACAAAAGAGCACACAGTCCACCTGATGGTAAGTGGATGTTGTGGCCCATAGACATCTACATTTATCCATGATTACGAATAAAAATGCAGACGCGTTGTCACCCGTGAGGACTTAGATGGAATGCCTCATTTCCAGTAGAAAGGGTCTCCGGTTCTCTACATTCACGAAACACAGCAGCATTAAGCTACTATTTTACGCTGGTATTCTGTGAGAGCGTGGTCCTTCCCCGGTCGAGCCCACCATTTCGTGCTACAACTACACTACTAATATAACTGCAGCATGACTCTACCACGTATAAGTAAATTTTAAATCTTTATTATATATTAGCTAATAACTTTCTTATTTGTGTAACACAAAGTTATATATAGAAAACATATTATAACCAAGAAAGAAAACAATCAAGAAATTTAGGATCTTTAGGTCTCAGCATCTTTTTCTCCCTAATCTTGCTACAGCTTTACACGGCGTGCTTTTTCCCTGCGAAAGAATCTATCAGCTCATCAAATTCTGTCTCAGTCAGTTTTAGTTTCAATGGATTGCGAGGCCAGATGTACGTTCCTAACTCATTGTTGAATGCAGATAGGTTATATAATTAGGTAAATAATTAATATTTGCAGTTTGTCGAAGCTTCACTTACTGCTTGCAGATGTCTACACTCACCATACGAAACACAGCAGCATTAAGCTACTATTTGATTCCCCAGTCGAGCCGACCCATTCATGCTACAACCATACTACTAATATAACTGCAGCATGGCTCTACCACATATAAAATGTGGCGATCTATGTGAGAGTCCTATGTCCAGCAGTGGACTCTTATAGGCTGCAATAGACAGATGGATGAATCAACTGAAAATAACATTAAAAGTAAAGTTTTTATTTGATGCAGTACATTAGAAAAATGGCATGTCTGTGCAAATAACATGTACATATTAATATATTCATGTAAAAATAAATGATAGAAATAGGTTATTTTAAAAATATCTAAAATTATTACATTATATACTCAATGCTTGCGAGTTGGCTATAGATATCTTGTACTTGATTTTAATTGTTTTCAATTTAGGAGGCTTGTCAGGGTTAAGCTGGAACCTTTAACACTGTTTTTGGTTGTCGTTAATGCGTTTATGAATTAATTACAATAAAAACAAATTTCACTAAAATTTTTATATAATGCAAATAAGTCAATTTGTATATAATGCAAATATCCCCCCTCCTAGTCCCACCGCTGTAAGGGAGTACCGGATGTCTATAGTTTAACCAAACTTGCTACAAAAAGTGATTTTTTTTTTATTTATAACTGCCTAGCTAATTACCAATTAAAGTGAAACCTTGACCAGATGTTAAATTCAGGGCACTAGGCCAACAATAGTGTTTTTGGGAACATTTAAATTGTCTGTTCTTAAATAAAGTTTTTAATTTTTTCATGCTTATACTACAGATTAACCACTATTACTACTATGTAACTTTTTTGCATTAAAAATCTAAATGGAAAGAAGTAAATTTCAATATCAATTTCAAAAATATGAACCTCAAAAATTCAAGTGAAAATTTTTGCAGTCCTTTACTGTTAGCTAACATTTGGGTCTTGTTTTAAGTTTGTAGTTGTAAGTTTTAAGAAACATATTTGTTGTCCACATTGTATGCTGAGGCAACCTTTAATTAACACTTAGATATAAACTTTCCTGTTATTACCAGTATGGTTAGTTATGTAGTTATTAGTTAGATCTTTATGGTTCATTGTCCTAAATAAATAAATACTACGGCTACTATAAGTATAGGAGTGGTATGAGTATCCACTGCCCCATATCATCCCATAATTGTGGTAAGAGGGATAAAAGGAGATGGACTGCAGTATATTTCTGATAACAGCACAAATTGATAAAAAACGCCATTACAATGAGGTATTCCATCTTGGCCCTCACAGACATCAGATGTCTAGTGGACCGTGTGTTCGTTTGTCACCCTTATACTATAAAAAAGTTACCAATCTAATTCCAGCACTTTTGATACATAGTAAAATTAAATATCTTCAGAGTTCTGAAGAGTTAGTAAGCCTTGGTATTCCATTTCTTTGTACATTATATCTTGATTTAAGGTGTGTAAAATATCTTGGAATCTCTGTCTTAAAGCCAAATTCTCCATTCCTGCAATTTCATGCTGAGTTCTTTGTCGGCGTTGCTTTAGTTCCTCCAGTTCCGTTTTTAATTGCTCTATTCTGAATTGCATGTTATCTTTAGACATATCCCGTGATTGATAATCACCATCATCTTCTGAAGACATACCTCCACTTTTAGATACGACAGACACTGCAGGAGTAGTGGCGCGACTGTGGCTCGCTGACCTCTTAGAGCTTTGTCCCCCTTGGAACATTCGTGACTCAAACTGAATTGGGAAATCTCTCTTTGAATGCATGTCTCCTATACCATGCATTGAATTTGTATCAGACAAACGACTATCATATGCAGATAATCGGCTATCTTCCATCTCAACATTAATATTTTCATCATCACTGTCACTTACAGCTCCTCCAAATATATCAACAACATTAGAAGATTCTGGATTCGTAGCATCAGATGTTGTGGATTCTCGTTTAGAACTTCGCTCAACTTTGGGCTTGCGATCAGGTTTTGAATGAGAAGATGAGACAGGTTCAGGCTTAGGATAGTCATCTTCCTCTTTGATTACTTCCCATGTCACACTAACAGCTTCATTATCTGCTCGCAGGAGTCTCTTCACTTCCTTTTCTATTTCTGGAGCTTCCACATACTTTTTCTTCAAAGTTTTTCGGAAACGTCTTTTACGAACATTCTTTGTAGGTGGAGTAATACCGTGGGGCCATAAAAACTTTTTGTCCACTTTATAGGGGTCCTTTTTCTTATTCTTTGGTGGGGTCTCTTCTTCTATGCACGGGGTATCAGGTTCGTCTTTACATATCATCATTTGACAAATATCTGCAGTCTTATAGAAACTTTTGTTATCAATTGTCTTTAGCGATTCAATAATGGTGGGTAAATCGACTATCTTCGCATGCATCAACCAGTGATCAAATCGCACCTCACCATGTCTCATATCGTTTTCTATCTGAATAGTCAAACGATTTTTGAGATTTTCCCCTGACTTGAGCACCTCTCTGAGTAACTTTGCTGGCTCTTCAGGAAGTCTGAGTACAAATTGCGATTCAAGTTCAGCGGGATATTCGGGTTCTCTTTTCTCTCTATTCATTGTAAACATGCAAATTGATTACTGCGCCCAAAGAATATAGTAACTTTATCAAAAGAAAAGAAACAACGCAACTAAATATATTAATAAAGTCATTGACCAAAAAGGTAAACACCAAAATAATTTAATGCGTAGACAGAGAATCCTCTGTCTACGTTTAAATGAGAACAAAAAGTTTAGGTTAGGACATAGGTTATCTTTTTTTATTAACAAGCTTTACGGCTCTGGGTTCTAAGTTCTAGCCCTTCTGAGCCTAGGTTATCTCTACATTCTTTTTTAACCAAAGGCGTGATATACTTCAGCATGGGGTCCATTATCAGTCCACTACACTTCCCAAGAAGACTAAGCTTGACTTAATAGATATTTTCGGCGAGCGGGCGAGTTCTCCTATAAAAAAATTTTTTTTTGTATAGGATAGGGTGACAAACGAGCACACCACGGGTGATATCTGTACAAATATTCCTAGCCTTATGTCTATGGCCCTCAAAAATCGATGTTGACAGCTATTGACTACAAATGTATAAAAATGTTTTTAGTATGGAAGATTGTAGTACTCTTATTAGTTTGTGGAGCACACAGTCCATCTAATGGTAAGTGGTTGCTGTGGCCCATAGACATCTACATCCGTAAAGAAAAACCAATGAACGTTTTTTCATACTTTTCAGGCACTTTCTTCTATAATCCGTAAAAATATTTTTAAGGCATGTACTTTTTAAAACGAAATAAAGTTAATTATTTTTTTTATTTTAATTGATGTAAACTTTATTTTAACCCTAATATAAATTATAAATCAAATAAATGTGTATTTAAAAGTTGATTGTATTTATAAAAATCAACTGTTTACATACACTACTATATACACTTTTGTATCTATATTTAATTTACATTTAAAAACATTAGTATGGCTACTTTTATAAGACTCCCGCGGACCGCCGTAGCGAACGGACGCGCGCAGCGGAAAGCTCCCGAGAGCCAATCCACGCACGACCCACGAACTGCGTGTGGTATCTTGAAATTTTGAGCGGTTCTTAAAACAATCCACATTGGAACGAGACTTGAAGTGAATAGAAAGTGAAAAATCATGAATTGTGAGGACCCCGGGGAGAGCACCCCCTGAGATTCACCAGAAGAAGTGAGACAGGCAACACGCAACAGAATTAGTGAATCAAGAGTAATAGAAAACATGCTCTCGAAAAACAACAGTGAAAGTTCACACAACTCTAATGATATGAACACGAATCTACTTAGTCTAGACACGGACAGTAAACAAGTGAAAGACAAAGTGATAAAAGTGAAAATGGACCTCAATGAGTTCAATAAAAATATAATACAGTGCTGGGAATGCGAACAATACTTCCAAACGGACGCCTTCTTGTGGGGTACCAATCAAATGAACACGAGGAAAATCCAATGTAAGGTATGCATGGAAAGCTTTCTCATAAAGGCGGCCACTAGTATAGTGCCCAAATTCGAAAAAGAAACACTAAAAATCGAAACTACCATAACAATATACATAGCCTCGCTAAAAACCGGAGTAAGCAACTTTCGTGCGTGCGTGGACTGTAAAACAAAGAGAGAATTGATCACCCTACCGATAGACGCATTTACATCGGAGGAATGGTTCATCTGTAAGTGCGGCAAAAATCAATGCGCACTTATAAAAACCACGGCAGAGGTTTCAAGCCCGTCTCTAACCACCCAAAGAGGCAAGAAAAAAGAAATCGTAAGGTCAGAACGACAAATAATACCGTCGAACTTTGTGCACTAAATACATACCAGAGCGTTGGCTTACAAGAGCCAGTGCACGTGCAACGAACGGCACATGCAAGCCGCTCGCCGGCCACGGACCGCCCCCTGCCTCACCTCAGGGGAACAACACAGCGTGCGAGCGTCTACGCTATTGAACAAAATCGCCCAAAGCCACACGACCACGGCGCGTACCTGCGCGACCGAAACAACCCAGAGTTTGTCCGCCATATGTAACACCCAGCGCGCGGACAGGCAATCCGAGGCCAACAGCAAACAGATTTGAAACGCTACAAAACGAAAATAGAGGAATAAAAAGACAACGCACCGGAACAGATAAGTTCGTGACGCCTGCACAGAAAAACACACATATCCCTGATATAATAATTAGGGATGAAAAAATAATGAAAGACCAACGCGCCCTCAGATTTATAAGAAAGGTGACATCAACAAATAATTCAACGCATAGAGTGACGAACGGACAAATAAAAATCAACCCGGGGAGCTCAGCAGCCTGGGAAGACATTCTCACGAAAATCCAAGTGTGCGAACCATCAAGAATAATAGCACCAAAACCGAAAGCTGACAGACAACTGGCGACAAAAGTGGTGCTGAAAAGTGAAACATACGGTCAAGACACCGACACAATCGCAGAAGAGATAGCGGAATGCATTGGCATTAAACCGATATCAATAAAACCGGTAGGAAAAGCAGGTAAAATACACCTCTTGATTTTTGAAAATAAATACAAACAAAAGAGCGTCCTGGAAGCATTCATAACCGCTGACAGGAAGTTCTTCTGCACCCCTTCCATAAAGGTAGAACCATTCAGAGAAAACCCGAGACACATAGTGCAATCCAAGAAATGCTATGCATTTGACCACTCGAAACAGTCTTGCTACGGCAGACAAGAACAATCACAGATCAAAATCAATACACCCGAGGGCACTACGACGATGGTCTGCAAAAACTGTAAGAAAGAAGGACACTGCGCGAACAACGCTACCTGTCCGATATTTCAAAAAATGATATCCAAACAAATGGAACAAGCGAAAGCCAAACAGACTAAACAAGAAGAGCGAATCAGATGTGCGACAGTCAGACCTGGAGTCAGATATGCGGACGTCTCAAGCAAAAGACAATTCCCTGTCTTGCCACAGAAGGAGCCGACACTATCACAGGGGAGCAGGCAACGTTACCACCGACGAACGAAACAACCATAGAAATCCTCCACCTAAGACTGGAGCGAACGGAACAACTACTAATGAAGCTCATAGAAACCATGAATAACACACAACGACAGACCAATGGCTAATCACGACCAAAAAAGAATACAGAACCACAAAATATTACACCTAAATGCACAAGGACTGAGAAATAAATTCATTGAAGTAAAAAAACTGGCAAAAAAATACAGGCCAGCCATAATTGTGATAAACGAATGCAAAATCGACTTCGACAAGGAGAAGTTTAACATGAAAGGATACGATAAAATCACACACTCGCTTAAAACCCACTTAACCACGGCCATGTACATACAAAGGGGGCTAAGATTTACCGAAACAGAGGTCACACCGGGGTGGGGAGAGGAGAGAAGAAAAATTGAAGGCGTGGGCATCAAACTGTTCACAAACCACGCGACCAGACAATACATAAAAATAAAAGGGACCTACTTTCAAATCCCAAATCAACACCAAGCCAGAGAAGAGCTTGAAGAAACCTTGGCAGACGAACCAACGATAATAATAGGAGATGTGAATCTACAGATGCGCGCCCTGAACCAAAGAAGAGACGCAGGCCTAGGCATTGTAATCAGGAAAGCAATAAACGACGGAATCTGCTCACTAAAAAACGCCAGCACGCCGTCGAGGCCGGCCAACCATGGCAACGCAATCCTGGACATAGCCGTAATAACACACCAACAGATCGAGGCACAAGCCAAGCAGTTAGAAAGCGTCGGATCAGACCATCTACCATGGCTCGAACACTACATAGAGGAAAACAAATCTCGCAATACAAGGAGGATATGCGAGAACGCGGGGGCGATGGAAGCATACCAACAAACCATATGGGAAGGCTTCCGCTACCTACACGGGGAATCGAATCACGGAGGAAGACTGCGAAAGATACGCATCTTTCAGAACAACAACGAGATGAGAACATCTACCACCGGAAATAAATGAAAAGATAGACTTCAGAAACAAGCTAAAACAAATTAAATGGCACGCAAGGCACTGCAGCCTCAACCTACAACGAGAGGCACGTTCCCCTTTACAACAAAGCCAAAAAAGAAGCAGATCAAGCACTGACAGAATACACCGAGAAGGGCTGGCTGGATAAGATCCAGGATTCGAATGACAATAGGTCGCAGATGTGGCGCATCCAACGCAACATGAAGAAACCAATCATGAAACTACCAAACATAACGGGCTGCAAAACGGAAAAAGAGACGATCGACTCACTGACTGAGGCAGCAATAGTAAAAGAGGCAGTAATTGCGACGGAAGACGAGGGCACAGAGAAAACGACCCCGTTCCAGCCACTCGACCCAACATCAAAACACGAAGTCAAATTAGCACTGAGCAGGTTCATAAACAAAAAGGCTCCCAGGCCAGATGGAATCAAGGCAGACGCTTCCATCACCTCAAACTCGGGGGAGAAGTCTTCACCGAGGCATTTGTGCTTCTCGCTAACTTTATATTGTCCACAGTCTACTTCCCTAAGAGATGGAAAACCGGCGTGTGCATCTTCCTGCACAAAGCTGGCAAAGATTATCGCCAGGTACTATCGTACCGCCCGATTACACAGTTCAAACATTATGGGCAAACTGTGCGAGTGACTGATCCTGAGACGACTCACCGCCACGGTGGACCGGCTGCAACCACCGTTCCAACACGGCTTCACAAGGGCCAGAGGCACAGCGACCCAGATCCTTCGCACCGGTAAAATAATCACAGATGCCCTGGCCATCGGCGACAGCGTCTCCACGATAGCAACAGATCTCTCGAAAGCCTTTGACTTGATTAACCACAAAGGCTTGATCAAAAAACTACAAGACAAAGACGTACCCACTAACATCACAAAAATTATAGAAAACTACCTTGCAGGCAGACAACTGAAAGGCAGGTTTAGAACAACTAAAACAGAGGAGAAACCTATACTCCATGGAGTGTCTCAAGGATCGATCCTGGGACCGGTGATTTTCAACCTGTATGTCTATGACATCTGGGACACACATGATAGAATTAAGGGGCTCAAACTCTCACAATACGCGGATGACCTCTGCATTCTCAACAGAGCCACAAACCTAGACCATGCAACCGTGCGAACGGAATGGGCAGTAGAAACCATTATTGACTACTATACGAGATGGGGGCTCAAATGCAACGTAGAGAAAACCGAGTGCATTATGTTCTCAAAGAAAAGTAAATACCGCCCAGCGGTAAAATTAAAACAACAGATGCTACCATACCAAAACCAGATCAAATACCTCGGCGTGGTCTTCGATAAACGCATGAGAATGAATCAACACACCGAAAAGCTAGTGAAGAAACTGAAACGGGTCAGAGGAGCCCTTGACCCTATAATTGGATACTACGCAAAAGGAGGTTATTAATAGAAATAGAATATATAATAGAATTAGAGAATAACCTCCTTATTAATAAATACATGTGCGAAAAACATCATAATGTTCAACATCGATGTCATGGAGTATAGATGTAAGGAGAATCATCTCACATAGGAGAATAGTTGAAAAAGTGTCCATCTGTAAGCAGTACATAGGAGTTCAAAAACTCTCCACAACAGCGCTGGAGTAGCTAGAGGGTATGAAGTAAACTTATAATTATATAATTGTATCTAATATATTATAGTAGTTGTCGACGGAGTGAAGTGTGCTGAGTTGAAGAATTTAATATTTATAGTGACTAATGGTGGTTAATATAGTGCATAGCGCCATATTATAGCGCGCTATCTCTCCGTAACACATAGCAAGTGCTATGTAAGTAGTCGCCATTGCGCTATGGCGCTTTGGCGCAATTTTTTTTTTTTTTTTTTTTAAATTATCCTCCGACATGTTGATCGGAGACCTTATGTAGCTGATTGCTTTTTTATATATTTATGTTTATTTTAATTTTTCATTATTTTTATATAGCTTTTTTTCTTTCTCTTCTTTCGTTTTTTTCTTTTTTTTCTGTGTTCTATGAACTACGTTTTTTGTTTTTTCAATATCAGGTGCTTTTCGGTACTTTGATTTTTTGTTTAAGTATATTTTTGTTGTTACTTTTCCTTTTTTATCGATTACAAATGTGGTTAATTCTTATTTTATTAATTCTTTTTTTTTTTTTACTATTCTACACTATTTCTAATTAAATTCTCTTGTTTTTTTTTTCTTATTATGTTGCATACTTATTTTATATAATATTAGGACATATGTACTCATATGTCTAATTATATAGTTTTCTTACTCTCTTGTTTTTTTTTTGTCCTTTTTTTACCAAGGTTTTTTTTTTATTGTACTTTTTGTTTGATGTATCTTATTCTATATTCTAAATTAATTTTATCTTGTTCTTGTTTAGGTACTTTTATTAGTTTTTATGATTTTATTTGCTACGGTTATACAATATTTTGTGAAAATGTTTCTGCCGCGTTTGTCTTCCATTATGTTATGTATATTTTCTTTTGTCAATTTTAATCCTATCTGCAGTTCCACGTCTGCTCTATTTTTGCAAAATTGAGGGCAGTCTATAATTATGTGCAGAGAAGATTGGGGTTGGTTGTTATCACACGTACAGTCTGGTCTAGATTTTATTTTAAAACGGAACAAATAATCTGCAAAGCCTCCATGACCGGTGAAAACTTGTATTAATATTGGCGTTAAATTAATTTGTTTTAGGATGCGATATGCTGCTTCTACGTCTGGAAAAAATACTTTTGTAATTTCGGCTTTTTCTTCTGTTAAATATCTCTTATGCCATTCCTTAATTGTTTTATGTCTAATTTGGTTCTTTATGAACGAAATCGGACATTTTGCGTAATTTAATTTTGTTTTTAATTTTAAAGCTGCTTCCTTTGCGAGTTCATCTGCGCGTTCATTTCCGGGAATACCTACATGTGCTTTAACCCAATACAGCCCTATCCTCCTGTTTTGACTTCTTAATTTAGCGATATCTCGCCTAATTTCGAAAGCCAACGGTTGATATGCTGATTGATTTTTGACAAGTTCCAGTGCAGATCTTGAATCACTGTATATGTAAGTACTTTGGTAATTCTTTGCTTTTTGAATAGCTTGATGCATTGCGTACAGTTGCTTTGGCGCTAATAAGTATTAATATCTAGCGGCAACTAGTTCTAGCAGCAGCGCTGTTGGTCGTAGACTAGTATATAGTCATCTGTGGCTGTTGGGAGAGGACGTGCGACGCAAATTTAATCTAGTAGCACACTATTCATCGCGTGTGACCTAATTTAGTGTTAGACGTTGTTTAGTTAGTGTATACTGTATATTTATAAGTGATCGAAGGACACAGTTGTCTGCTATAAAAGAAGCCTTACTTCTTCTTCTTCTTCTCCCTAGCTATTGTCCCATTTTAATTGGGGTTAGCCCTCCTAGTAATCTTGCGCCACACCGTGCGATTGTGGGTTGTCCTTTCTGACATGTTAGTAGATTTCAGGTCGTTTTTTAGTGTTTGCAGCCAGGTTATTGGTGGTCGTCCACGACCTTTCTTCCCCTCTTTTATGTTCATAACTCTTTTAGTCATATGGTCATCATCCCGTCTCATCACGTGTCCGTACCAGCGTAGACGCTTTTCTCTAAGTTTTTCGTGCACCTTAAAACTACCACGAATGTAATCGTTTCTTATTTTATCTGTTCTAGAAACTCCTCCAGACCAACGTAGCATTTTCATCTCAGTGACGTGCAGTTTCTGTTCATCCGTCTTTCTCATCGGCCAGCACTCAGATCCATATAGCAGAGCTGGTCTTACTGCTCTTTTGTATACATTGCCCTTTATTTTAATAGGCATACGGGAGTCACATAGAATGCCAGACAGCGATCTCCATTTTAACCAAGCTATTTGGGTTCAATTTTGTATGTCTCTTTCTATACGTGTCTTTGGTGCTACAATGGATCCGAGATATTTAAACTCTTCAACTCTCTTAAGAGGACTGCCTTCAATAGAAGGATATGGAATAACATTCACATTGGCATTAGAAAAGTTACAGTACATATATACAGTCTTCTCTCTATTGACTCTCAACCCTCTTCTTTCTAAGGACTTCTGCCATATTATGAGATCTGATTGTACTTCCGCCATTGATTCGGCTATAAGTACTATATCATCAGCGTATAGAAGTGACCACGGTGCTGGTTTCTGAATGTCCGCAGTGATATAGTCCATTACTAGGTTGAATAGAAGAGGGCTTACGGTCGAACCCTGGTGAACCCCTACTCCGACTTCGAATGATTCTCTTGTCCCTGCTGGGCTGACCACTTTTGTAGTTACATCGTGGTACAGATCTTTGAGGAGTTCAATATAATGCTTCTGCACCAATTGCGCCCTTAGTGCTTGCCAGATTAGTTCTCGAGGAATTCGGTCGAACGCCTTTTCAAGGTCAATGAAAATAAGATGAAGATCTTGTTTGCGTGACTTGTACTTTTCCATAAGTATTTTTACTGAGTGAATTGCATCTGTAGTGCCCACGCCGCTAGCGAATCCACATTGAGTCGGTGTAATTTTTGTACCAATGTAGATTCACTAGCGGGACAAAAAGAAGCCTTACTAATGTCTTTAAATGTAAATTAAATATAGATACAAAAGTGTATATAGTAGTGTATGTAAATAGTTGATTTTTATAAATACAATCAACTTTTAAATACACATTTATTTGATTTATAATTTATATTAGGGTTAAAATAAAGTTTACATCAATTAAAATAAAAAAAATAATTAACTTTATTTCGTTTTAAAAAGTACATGCCTTAAAAATATATTTAGGATTATAGAAAGTCGTAAGCCTGAAAAGTATGAAAAAACGTTCATTGGTTTTTCTTTACCGCTTTATTTTATTTTAGTCTAAAATGTGACTTATTAACACGTTCGCTGCGGCAACTATTTGAGACATTATTCCCCCAGTGCGTTACCAGGTCTATAGGCCTTATACCTAAACTTTTCACCGGTGCGTCAATGGGTCAATAAACCTGGTAAGATATGGGTAACTTCAAACTCTAATAACTCTTCGAAAACTTTTGATATTGAATATTTTTTTTAACTAGGTTATTGAGAAAATGTAAGCCTATCTTATACTAGCGTCGCAAATTGCTCCGATGGCTAATTTAGAAAATATACAGAAAAACAAACATAAGGCTTATCGACCCATTACCGCACCTAGGTAATGGTATAATTGGGATAATTTTAGTGATGGGATATAACATAAGTACAGAAATATCGAGATCAACTTTATTTTATTATTAACTGTTATCTGTTATATATGATTTTCGTAAAAACATTTAGCGCAATATCCCTTGTTGCACTCAGCGCAATACGATTTAATTTTTTTGGTTTTTCTTTGAGCATCTTTGCTATTTAACGTTGCACGAAGCTTATTGTAACAACTCGCACAGTTTCTTCTTTTTATTCCTTTGGTTTCGAAGGTATGATTCGTCTTTGGCATAGCAGCACATTCAGTAGCTGTAATAAAAGAAACAAGTTAAATAATAAACCAAGAGAGAAAACGCCGTGTGAGATTGTTGCTATTTTAAAGCTAACTTTAACTTAAAACTTAACAACTAATAAAAACTAGCTTGCTCCGAGAAAAAAATAAAAGGTTATTGTATCAGTATTAAATTACAGTTAAGTATTTTATTATCATTTTTAGTTATTTTTTTTTCTCAGACAGAATATCTTTACCTAGTGCTAAATATTACGGAAAAATATATTACCTGTTTCTGTTAATATCGGCACCTGAGTCAAAGCTTCAATAATTGCTTCCATAAAATTCTTCTTTGGCATTTGAACTGGTTTACCGTGATTGTATAATACCCAGCTGTTTATTATGACTGTTCCAAATAATATCTCCATCATTACTTTTCTGAACCATTTCACGCCCCTTTTCAAGCTAGAATAATATGAAGACATTTGGTCGTTAAAATCGATGCCTTTTTTATTCTCATTGTATGTTATGACGCATTGTGGTTTTTTAATTATGTTTCCAGTGATTCGGTTCGTCTTACCTGAAAATGAGATAAATACAAGTTAAAATATTGGTAGAAACAGTGTATCTATAAATTTATTCAAATTAAATTTCTCAAAATTTGTAGATTTTATCGCGGGCGGATACTAGTTTATTTATAAAAAATACTCCTAATTTCTCAAATTTTTACCTTGTTATATTTTGTTTTTATTTTTGCGTCATATGTATTTTTAATTTTTTCATTTAAATAATTATGTAAATAGCTAGTTATAATGCTTTAGTGCCAACTGTAATGTTACTTCTATAAATAAATAAAACAGAAAAAATGAACTAACATCCTTATCTAAAATGACACATATGTAATACGTACCTGTAGATTTAAGAGTCAAATTGTGATTTCGGCACGTAGAAATCATATGAACCGGTCTCTTATCTGTCCACTTTATAACTCTTACCCCATTTGGGTACATTTTTCCTACTATTTGACCTCGTTTCAATTTTATGGATATTATTTTCTTAGGATTTCCTTTCCGATTTGGTCTCAGAGTACCACACATGAAGGTCTTTTTACGTATAAGTTCTTCCGCAAGATCAATGGAATTGTAGAAATTATCTGTTATTATTATTCTTCCATTATTTTCTAATCCTTTTATTAATCTTAATACTGTTTCCTTTCCATGATTAGTTTCTCGACCATTATCTCCTTTACCTGTATATATAATACAGTTTCTTGTGTATCCTTCTGGAGTGCAGAGCTTATATAGTTTCACTCCATATTTGTGGGACTTGTTTTTAATGTATTGGCGAAATTTCAACCTCCCTCGCCACGGAATCATACTTTCATCTATGATAAGATACCGACCTGGCTCCAAAAGGGTTTGCAATATTTCTAAAATCTTATTAAAAGTATCCCTTATCTTTTTCAATTTGTCTGTGTCGTTAGAGTTGACTCTTGACTAAAATGCCAAAATTTCAAAATTAGCAGAAATCGATCTCTTGTCATAACTGAACTAATGTATTTATTATTGTAGATGTTTCTTTTCGACCAGTAATCATTTAAACGTGGTATTCTTACAAGACCCATCGCCAGTAGCACTCCTAAAAATTTTTTCATCTCCTCTGGAGTTGTAGGAGTCCAGGCTCGCAAGCGTGATTTAGGCTTAAGATTACTTAGATTACTAATAAGATCTTGTGCGTAATTGTTTGTGTTTAACCTCAAAAATAGACTGTAAAAATCTGCTGGCGTTATAGTATTATCCGGAATGTTTGGTCTACAATTATCCGTGAATTCATCGAAATCAGGTTTTGTATCGTTAATGTCTTCCCACTCGTCAAAATTATTGTTTTCTGTACATTGAGTATTTTCAAGTATTTGAACTAATTCGGTTTCAGAACTGTTTTCATAGTAAGTTATTACGCTATCATCACCATCACTATCGTCGGAGTAAGAAGAATCAGTTTCTAGGTCAGACGAGTTGGGAGCATAACCATCATCAGATGAATCGGGTTCAAAATCTTTAGCAGAATTTGCAAGAATATTCAAATATGTTAATGAGCTTTGTTCATTTTGCGTTTGAGTGTCATATTGCACAGATTTTCTCGGAAGGGTTGGGAGTATAAATGTTATTAGATGCATCTGGATTTAAATCTTTACCATAAATTGTAGAAATATTCAAATTTGTCAATGAACTTTGATTACTCTGCGTTTGAGTGTCATATATTGCACAGATTTGCTCGTTGGATAGTGGGCATAATAAGGATTTTGCACACGAAATGTCACTAATAGAACTAGTCCTGCTTGTAAGATTTGATACGTTCGGAGTTACTGGGGTTTCTTTTCGTAAATTATAATATTTGCGGATAGGAGTTGCAAGTCCGTATTCAGCGTTTTCCAGTACATGAAGAGTATTGCCAGTACTAGGACTAACATAAACATCGTTTTCTGATTTTTGTATTTTCTTTCTTTTGGGCGTAAAGTCTAAATAAGTCTTTCTAACTTGAGGACTTACCCGCATTGAGCTATCGTGTAAAGTTGAACTGAAGCTAGGTTCTTGAAAATCAATAAATGAACTGCAGCGAGGTTCTTGAGAAGTTGTAGTTTCACTGCTTGTAGAAGCTGGCTTAACAATAAGATCCTGAAGGATTTGAATTTGTTTTTTTTCTTGTAAACTGCCACTGTTATTTTGGTCCACCACTTCTTGAGCATTTTGAAAAGACAGCTCGAGCATTTTTCGACAACGTTTATTGACTCGATGCATTTTTTATGAATCGTACGCACATGCATTTGTAAAAGCTGTCAACACAACACTAATTAATTTTGACTCTTCAATCAGTGCGGTATTAGGCAGATAGGCATTGTACTTCCCATAAGACCTATGGGCCTTGTATCTGCACTGAATGTCAATTTTTCTCTCCAGTGCGGTATAAGGTCGATAGGCCTGATACAAATATTATTATTTAAATGAATAGCCATTGAAAAGACGATCTTAAATACATACTTGTCTTTATCACTTATAGAGAAATCTTTAAGTTACTGCGTTCGCAGCAGAGGGAGAACGCCGTATTTTCGCTCCGCACTGACTGCAAGTTTATGTATCAGCCCTATAAGCCTTGTGCCGCCGCGAACGTGTTAAGAAATAACGTTCTTATATAGCATGCGGTCGATCCAATGAACGACATGTAATGTAACGTGCTATGAGATATAGCGTGCTGCAAATCTTAACGCGCTTGTCAGCTTTCTACACGATTCTCTTATAAATAGCACGCTATAACATGGCGTATTTAATAGCGCGCTAGAAATGTATAGTTTATAGTCTGTAGCGTGCTATTGATTCATAGTCGTTTTGAACAAATTTAGTGGTGACTAGAGTAGTTGGTGAAACTATCACTACCACACCACTTTACTGCGCAAGTAGGCATGTTTTACTGTTTCTTTATTATAAAAAATTGTGGCGCTAAGGACGCAGTACACAGGTCTGGTTTCTGGTCACTACTAAACGGGGTAGTGGTCGTGTTCAACTATATAGGCTCTGGTTGAGCGGATGAAGTACAGAAATTTGTCGCCTTTCGTTACATGTCTCGTAGGCGAGGTGGTCTGTGAATGTCACACATAGCATTTAATACTATCTCATGTAACATACAAACTAAAAAGCAAATAAATAAATAAAATATTCCGTAGTCGCATCTAACCAGCATGATATGGGACAATGGATTATCTTACGATACTACCACACGGCTCATCAATCACACCATTATTGCTTGGTTCAAATCATTTAAATTATATTCTCTAAGGACAAAGCCGTGTTGTGACGGTGTAGGAATATTCACTTCATCGTATCACCCTGGGATGGCGTAAAAGGCTTTCCAAGAAAAAGATGCATAGAGAGGTTTTGCCTTTGCATCTTCTACCGCATCTACCACGGAGAGTGCTCTGAGGAATTGTTAGGAATAATTCTAGCCGCCAAATTTGACGATCGCACGTCGCGACAAAACTCACGATCCTATCCACACCACGTCACCACCACTTAAGGCGCAAGTCCCCTGATACTGTAGTAGCTCATGAGCGACGGCAGTCACTTACCATCAGGTGATCCGCATGTTCGTTTGCAAACTCTTCTATAAAAAAGAGGCGACAGTGGGTAACAAACTGGGAGATGGTAAGCAGCGTATTCCTGATAACAGCTGAATAAAAAAACTGCGGTTGCCAACCCGATTGCCAAGGCAAGTATACCCCCACACCCTATGACAAGTAGATCCCCTACGAGGCAATCCATGGGATGGACCTAGGTTCACCAGTGCAGTGTTTGATAGGCTGTAATGGTGAAAGGACAAAGCCGTGGTAGCTCGTGTTAACTCGGCACCAATTTAATTGTGGATTGCAATTTTACGTGGTGATTTACTAACTATTGGTGATTTATCAACTGTTCTGTAACCAGGGCGGCGTGCACAGAGAGTTGGTCACCTGTTAAAACCATTTGCAAGTTTTTTTCCACTATTTCTCAGGATCGTCAAGATATCTTAGATATTTTAGATTCTTTATCTTAGATTCTTCTTCACCCAAATATACTTCAGCATGGGGTCCATTATCAGTCCACTACACTTCCCAAGAAGACTAAGCGTGAGTTAATAGATATTTTCGGCGAGCTCCCCTATACAATGCTTTGGAAGTTTGAAGGGAATTTTTTTATAGGATTGGGTGACAAACGAGCACACAGTCCATCTGATGGTAAGTGGTTGCTGCGGCCCATAGACATCTACATCTATCCTCAAATACGAATGAAAAGGCAGATACATGGTTACCCGTGAGGACTAAGATAGAATGCATCGTTTCCAGCAAAAAGGGTTTCCTGTTCTCTACACTCACCATACGATACACAGCAGCCTTAAGCTGCTATTTTACGCTGGTATTCTGTGAGAGCGTGTTCCTTCCCCGGTCGAGCCGACCCAATCGTGCTACAACTATACTACTAATATAGCTGCAGCATAGCTCTACTACGTAAAAAACGGAAGGACTTTCTAAGAACATCAGGTCTTGGATGCCACAAGCCAGTATATTGGGCACCTTTTAAAGATATTTATACATAAAATGAATATCTATAAAGTTTCTTTTGCCGTTTCTTCTCCGCTCATAGTAACTTCATTTTGGAAACGAATTGAATAAAATGACGTTTCTTATACACGCAAGCTCCTTAGAGTTTATAAATATTTTTTTTTAATATTCCATCTGCGCATTAAAACGTGAAGATGTTCAGCGTTCTGTTGAGCGAACCGTAGAAATGTCATGTGTTGAGCTTGAGCACCTCATTGTTGTCAATGTTTACAGACCCCCATGTTCGGGGCAAAAATGTTGAAAAAGATATGGAAGAAGTTTTAGATAAGTTCAATAAACAGATAAATCTCTTGTGGTATACGGAGACTTTGATATCAATCTCCTGGAAGCTTCTTCCATCAGTACTAAATTTTGTGCTTCATCTTGATAATTTATTCTTTGAAGTTAGACGTATTGCAGGGTGTAGTGCAACTTGTATTGATAATATTTTTACAAATGTTGTACCAATCAAGAAATTCATAATTCAAAAACTGAGTTCAGATCATTGTGGACAACTGGTTTCATTACCATATATTCACAAAAATGGAAATTGAGAAAATATGTTTGTTCCGATTAATACAAAACGCCTGGAGAGATTTAGAAGTAATATGTCTGATTCTTTCTTACAGAACATTTGGACTTTATATGGAGCATTATTTGCCATTAGAAGCAATTAATTTAATTTAAAAAAAATTACTTCTAAAATATTCTCCAGTAACAGTCGCAAGGCATATTAATGATTGAGCGACAGTAGGAATGCATAAGAGCAGACGAAGAATATATGAACTTTACCATGAACGATCATATAATCCTTCCGATATTTTTAGAGAATATGTCAAAAACTATTTTAAAATGTTTAAAAGAGTGTGCTCCACAGCCAAATCTTTACATATTAGCAACAAAATTAAGACCGCTAAAAATAAAATTAAAATGACGTACAGTATAATAAAAAGACAAATCTCGTTACGCAAATTATCATTTGAGAATTAATAATGAATGGACTGGATCAAATAACGAAGTTGCAGAGGTGTTTGAGAAATATTTCATTGATATTCCTATTTTAAATACAAAGTCATTGAATAGTTCTCCAACTATCGCCAATTCATTACTCAAACAGAATGTTGTATCTGTTTAAAAGAATTTAGACTTGAAAAAGTATTACTGCAAAATATTGTAAAATATTTCAAAATCCTTGATGTAAAGAAAACTGCAGATTTATAGGGAATTTCTGTTACAGTGATTGCGGTCGTAATAGATTTAACCTCATCTTGCTATTATTTTTGATACTAGTATGGAATCTGGTGTGTTTCCTGATTTCATGAAACATAGTAAAGTAATAACTTTATTTCAATCTGGTAGTACATTGGACCCCGCTAATTTCAAACCTATTTTAAGTACTAGTATTTAATTTTAGTACTACCAACTCTCAGTAAAATTTTTGTAAACATAATTTTAGATCAATTGTTAATTTTTTTAATAAAATAAATTACTCCATAAAAATCAACTTGGTTTCAAGAGGGGTCGCTCGACGACTGTTGTTGACAGTTGTCGAGCTTATGAAATATACTTTAATACCTGGGAGAGTTTGAGGCATCCAGTGGGATGCCTTAGGTATTTTTTGTGATCTTTCCAAGGTTTTCGATTGTAATCATCGTGAGATATTAATCAAGAAATTACAACATTACGGTGTCAAAAATATTACGCTTAGACTTATTATTTCATATTTAAATAACAGAACTCAAGAAGTCATTATCAATAGTAAAGGTTCCTCCGGATCAATAAGTTTCAATGGGCGTTCCCCGGGGCTCGATTCTTGGCCCATTCCTGTTTTTAGTCTATATTAATCACTTACCTTATCTTGTAGGGGACAATCACGATATAGTACTATTTGCTGATGATACCTCTTTAATTTTCAAATTCAGTTGACAGTCAATCAATTTTGACAATGTAAATAATGCTCTATCGAAACCAGTACATTGTACATTTTCTTGGTATTACTATTAACGCGAAGTTTCAATGGTGCCCCCGTATATCTAAATTAGCAGGCAGACTTAGTTTTCCAGCATATGCTGTAAGAAAGATTAGAAGAAAGAAGAAAGAGAAGAAATCTCACCAAAGTTGAAAGAGCTAGATTGGTTTATTTTAGTTACTTTCATAGCGTACTGTCTTATGGAATCTTACTATGGGGTTAAAGTAACTGACATTGAAGTCATATTTGTTTTGCAAAAGAGAGCCGTACGGGTGCTTTACCACTTAAACTGTAAAGGGTCCCTTAGAGAAAAAAAATTAAAGAAATAAACATACTAACTTTGGCATCGTAATATATTCACGAAAATATGTAATATATGTACACAAAAACATAAATAGCTTTCATAAGAATATGTTCATACTTTAAACACTAGGAACAAACATAAGCTTGTAATACCTGTTACTAGATTCCACAGAATTGTATACTCTTTTAGAACAAAATCTCAGAAAATTTTCAAAATTTATCATTAAACAAGATTAAATGCTTCATTAAAGAAAAATTGTATAAAAAGGGTTATTATAATATAAAGGAATACATAAATGAAAATAACCCCTGGGAATGAAGTGATCGCCATTCGCCACCATGCTGGTTCTATAATTGTACAAAATAAA